ATCTATGCCCACTGATTCCTTACATCCTCCAAAAGGAGAGCACAATAGTTTGGTCCACTTGGTGTTGAATTAGATAGAATATCACCCAGTCTCTACTTCCCACAGCACATGCACACGCACGCGCACGCGCACATCCACGCATGCGCACGTAGCTTCCAACGTTCCCGCTGTGGTGGGTGAGGGGAGTCTCTTATTCCATGCATGGGAGTATGTATATCTGTAACTGCAAATGAAGGATGCATCTGGGCTGTGGTAATCTTGGGTTAATGAATGTGATCAGCAGGAAGGAAGAAAAGAAAGAAGGGAGAACAGGATATTAGTTGTGGAGAAAGAAGCTTGTGTTATTACCTGTTTGTTTCTTTTTTGTAAGAATCCTTTTATTTCTGCCTTATCCTGAATAACTACTTTCAAGACAATGATATACAGTGTCGTTGCTACCATTATTCTCTTATCTCATTGTAGAAATATGTTTATTTTTTCATAAATATATATATTGGAATTGTTTGTTCCTTTGGACTGGTTTAGAAACCCTGTGATAAGTGAAGACAGAGTTGTTTGGGGGAAGCTTGTATTCTTTATATGTCTGAGCATGTGTGTGAGTGTATTTGTAAAGCTATGACAAAATGAGAATGGGCAAGCAGTGTTTTCATGTTATATCTTTGTTGTAGCTTGGGGGTTTGCAAGGAAAACAAAGTAATCCAGGGCACATTTTATAAGATTATTTATAATAGTCACCCAAAGAATCATATACAAAAAGAGAGTGCAGGAAATATGCCCACACAATAAAGACCAAAGAATCCAGCTGAGGGCCTGGATCCTACAGTAATGTCTTGCATGAGTCCAGCTGAAGATCTAGAGCCCATAACAATGCCTCCCATGAGTTCAACTGGAGGCCCAGAGCCCACAACAATATCTCATGCAGGCTGATTTCATGGATCTGTGCTGGGAAGGCCCAAAGGTCAGTGGTGGAATCTAGGAAGTCTGTGCCAGCAGGATGAAGTGTCTGTGCTAGCAGGCTGAGGGATCTGCACTGGAGCCAGAAAGAGATGCTCAAAGTAAGAACCAGAACTCTCCTGAAAAGTACCACAACCATCCTCAGCAGCAGCAAGGTTCTGAGCTCCTCTGATGGTGAAGACAGCAGAGTTCCCATCAGGAAAGCCAAAGCCGCAAGTTTCTCCAGGAGACTGAGCAGTGCACCATCTTCCCCTCCAGAGCCAGGAAGTAATGCTCAGAGCGAGGACCAGAGCTCCCCCTGCAAATGGTAGCCATTCTCAGCAGCAATGAGGTCCCAGTGAGAATAACCAAGTTGATCAGGAAAGTCAGCATAAGAAGGTCCTCCAGCAAAATAGCCCAAGAGAACAAGCAGCTCCATACAACTTCCCAACACCTTCCAAACAGCCTCCCAACAGTTTCCCTTGTTCTTCTCCAGTTCTGCCTCTTATGCTGCTGGCAACAACCCTCAGGTGGGCCTCCCACACCCAGTACCATGCTGGTCCAGTTCAGCTGGGGGTTACAACTTGACCACCAGTTGTCAATCCACCACAATCTCCATTCCTCCAGGGAGCAAAAGAGAAAGCTCATTTGTTTGCACTGGGCTTTATTTTTAAATTGAAGGGACAGAGAAGTTCTTGGAAGATATAAGGATTTTTAAAATGGGGTCTTAAATACCATGTCTCAGAGCCGCATCTCAGAGGTGTCTTGCTGGTGTCCTGCTAGGAAGCTGCAGGAGCTCTTCTTTCCCTCTGAGCAGAATCCAACTGACCTGAGCTGCAGCGTGGTGACTCACCCGGGGAGCATACCAGTATCACTCTCTTGGTAGTCACTGGTATTGCAGACTTAGGAACAGCATCTGCAAGAGCCACTGTACAGTGGCTCATTCCTGTGTAGGAGCAGAAAGAGTAGACCGGAAAAATAATACACTCCATGGTGCTTGTGTGAGAATCCGTAAGCCCAAGTACTCTTGAAGGCTGAGGTAGGACCACAGTGTTGAGCTCTGCCTGAGCAATTTAGTAATTTAGTCAAAATAAAAAATAAGGAAGGGCTGAGGACGTGGGTCAGTGAGAGGGACAGAGATTCACTTCCCAGTACTTTGCAAGACAAATGCTCAAAGTAGTGACAAGGAGACTGCTTGAGAGAAGATCCTATTAAGCCTGTTGAACTTCCTGTAGTTTTCTCCAAAATGTCGTTTATTCAGACTTACGTTTAAATTCAATTGACACACACAAAGTGAACATTTCTAGGATGAACCCAAGACATTTTGAGACATTAATGCATTATGTATTGTTAAATTCAGGATGAACACACCTGTCTCCTCAGATATTTATAATTTTTGTAGTGAAAACATTCAAAATTCTTTCTATTTTTTTTAGATACTCATCATGTTATTGTCAACTCTGGTGACCCTATTGTGAGAAGGAGCAGCAGAACATGTGACTCCTAAGTATCACCCAACTCCTGTGGACCCGCTGCTCCCCTTCCCTCTCCCCAGCCTCCTGCAGCCAGCCTTGAACTCGCAGCTTCTCCGAGTCACATCCACTTCCCGGGGAAGAAAAGCTGTCATTCTATTCTGCTTTTAAATGCAAAGGAACCTAGGTATTTTAAGACACAAGTGATTTAGGGAGACAGCAGGTGTGCTGTGACAGTGACTGACATGGGATATATAAAATATTTTTACATGGGTCTTTTGGAAGAATAATAGGTCAGGCGAGGCTAAGTCATTTTTTTCATTATTTCAAATGTCTCTTTTCAAGTTTCTATGAAAGACAATTTTTGTATTGTATGGACTTCCTTTAGTTGATATTTTGATAATACTGTGTGGGGGTCATACCACACACTATTCTCATGTGCACTTCCGTGCTGTGAGATGGTACAGTATGCAGCTATTTTGCTCCTGTACCCTGATGGCTCTTGGTGAGTATTCCTTGCAGTGTCGTATAATAGGAAAGCATCATGCCTCACTGAACAACACCCCATCCCTGTTTGAAAACCACAAATAATGCTGTTATCATCGTCTTTGTAGCTACATGGAGATCTGCATTTTGCTTACTCCTTCTTTCAGTAATTCTTTTTTTTATTAGTACATTTTTGCCATATGTAATGATCACATTCATCATGCGAAATTTGTACCTGTTCATAATATATATTAATTGATTTTTCCCTTTTCTTTTCCCTCCCTTCAACCCTCTTACCCTGCCCACTTACAAAAGCTTTTATCAATGTTTTCCTTCTATTCTTTTTAAATCCCTTTACCTTCATCTCTTCCCTTTCTCTTCTCCTTTACAATCCTTCCCATTTTTTTTTTTTTTTTTTGTACTGGGAATCAAACTCAGGACCTTGCATTAGCCAGGCAGGTGCTCGAGCCGCTGAGCTACATCCCCGGCACTCCCCTTCCCATTTGAACAAGTTCTTCCTATTCCCTAACATCTACCCTCTATTTTGCTCCTTATTTACCCTTTTAGTTTCTCACACAAGAGAAAAAATGTAATATTTGAACCTATAAGTCTGATTTATTTCACTCAAAATTATGGTCTTGTGATGCATCTATTTTTCCTAAAAATGACTCAAGTTTATCCTTTTGGCAAAGGAGTACTCCGCTGTATATAAGTACCACATTTTCTTTATCCATTCATCTGTTGATGGACATATGGGCTGCTTCCAAGATTTAATTATTATAAATTGTGCTGCTATAAACATAAGTATGGACATATCACTGTGATAAAATGCTTTAAATTTTTTGGAAGATACCTAAAAGAGGAATAGCTGGGTCAAATGGAACTTGTAGTTTTTATTTTTGAGGAATCACCATACTCATTTCCACAGTGGTTGTAATAATTTACACACTCACCAACAGTGGCAAAGGATTCCTATTTCCCCCACAGCTTCAGCAGTATTTGTTATTGGTTGATTTCTTGATGACAGCCATTCTTCCTGGAGTGAGATGGAATCTCAGAGTTTTAGTTTGCATTTCTTAATGACTACTGACACTAAACATCCTTAACAAATTTATTCACAATTCGTACTTCATCTGAGCAGTGTCTATTCAGTTTTGGATTGGGCCTTGAAATGTGGTGGGGGGGTTTGCTTTTTTTTGGGGTTCTTTAATCGATTCTAGATATAAGTTCTTCATCTGAAGACTAGTGAAAATTTTTTCCTATTCTGTGGGTTGTCTCTTCAACCCGTTGGTGTTTGTTTTTGTTTTTTTTTTTTCTGTGCAAATGCTTTTGTAATTTGATGTGATCCCAGGTGTTGATTCTTTGTCATGTGCAATTGGGGTTTTTTTCATGAAGCCTTTGTGCACACCTATGTCTTCAGGAATTCTACCTATTCTTCCAGCTAATTTAGTGTTCCTGTTTTAACATTTAGATCTTTGATCCATTTCAATTTTACTTTAGTGCAGGGTGAGAGAGGTCAGTCTTTAGTCTTTGCCATGTGAAAAGCCAGTTTTTCCAGCACCATTTATTAAAGAAGATATCGTTCTTCTAGTGAAGATGTTGGCCCCCTTGTCAAAGATCAGGTGGCTGGATATGTTTGTCGTGGTGCTTGTATCTGTTCCACTGGTCCTCAGGTCCGTTTTTTTTTTTTTTTTTTTTTTTTTTTTTTTTTTTTTGCCAGTACTATGCTGCTTTTATCACTGTAGTTTTATAGTAACAAGGCAGGAGTTGTGAGGCCTCCTGCTTTGCTCTTTTTTCCCAGATTTGCCTTTGCTATTCTAGGTCTCTTCTGGCTCCATATAAATTTAAGGATTGTTTTCTGTAGGTCTGTAAGGAATGCTATTGGTGTTTTGATTAAGATTGCATGAAATCTGTATCAAAGTTTTAGAAGCATGGCCAAGGGGCCGGAGGGCCATTGTAAGTTTGAGCCCATCCTGGACTACAGTGAGACCCCCACCCACCAAATTACACATGCGAACTGGAAACCCTCCATGGGAAATTCCAATGGGTGCGATCTAATCTTTAAGGGAGCACTTGGCCTGGCCTGATACACTATCTTTTTCTAAACAGACACCTGACAAACAGCTGTTATGGTCCCATCAGGAAACCCCTGTCATTGTTTTCGGCCACCTACCCTTGTCCCATCCACCAGGTGCTCCTGTGGCAGACATACAAGGTGAGCAGCAGATAAATTCAAAACACAACGGCCAGGGCCATGGGTTCCGTTCCCAGGCACTGCCATGGAAACTTTCTAAGAATATTGAGATTTGGCTGATGAAAAAAATTAAGTTGCTTCACACAAAAAATAGATTCATCATTAAGCATTTTATAAACTGAATCTTTGTTTCTGGCATAGTTCAGTCTACTGTTTTCTGAAAAGAACCCCGTGGCATTTTATGCAGCTCGGTATTCCTCCTAGTCCAGATGATTGAAGAATCATCTTCTGGAGGTGGAAAGAGGTGAGAAATAACCTACTATCTAGTGCCTACTTTTTTATTTTATTTGTTTTATTTTTTATTTTTATTTATTTATTTTTTTTGCTGTACCAGGGATCGAACTCATGACCTGTGCCTGCCAGGCAGGTGCTTATGCCACTGAGCTATATCCCCAGCCCCTACTGCCTACATTTTTAGGAATAAAAAATAAAGGTAATTATTTGTCCCATTTCTCTGACATAAGGCCAAGTTACGTGCTTATTCTTTCTACTCATTTCATACACAAATTGTCAATTAAGCAAAATATAGCTTCTTGAACACCTTAGAATTTTCAAAATCACTTTTAGAATTAGTAGTGTTTCAGCATTTTAAAAGAAATCTATGGATTATTATAAGAGCTTTGCTGAAGGATTTTGTCATGTCTCACCTGAATTATGAGAAAATACAGCACTTTGATTTTGCATGATATTTTCAGTGTTTTCTTAGAACCACTGGACTTTCTTTCTGAAGGTCATTAACTTTGTTAAGACTTATCTTTACTTAATTCAGCTTTGTGCCATTATGTTTGTATTCATTTAATTCAACCTCTGTAGCTTCTCCTCCCACTATACCTTGCCTTTTCCAAAGCGACTTGGTTATTAAGAATATTCTCAAGGCAAGAGATAAAGCCAGTGGGAGCCTGTAGCCAGAAGCATATTCAGACCCACTTCCCATCTGTGGGCTGACGAGAAATGCCATGTTCACACTTCTGAGGGTAAATTGGAGCCTGAGCAGCTAAATTGTTGAACACGTTAAACAGTCTTAAACATTAAAACTCCTTTCCAATTTAAAAAAATTATAATAAAATGTTGACTTTTAAGACCAAATAAATTGTATAAGATTTTCAGAACTTGAAGGTAAATATGATGGATAACTAAAAGGTAAGATGACTGGATGGTGTGGGCTAATATTTCACCTCCGTGGAAAACCAAGTTATGTGGGGCAAGGTGGTCTTCAGCAGAAGGGCCCACCCCTAATCGTCGGTGTGGGGGTCATGGCATCTCCATCCTGTGCAGTCTTCTTCTTCTTTCTTCAGTTCAACACCACAACTTGCTTCTTTCCTTGTAATGGACCCTGGCTGCACCGAAACTGCACTACACATTTCTAAGTCTACGTTGGAAAGTTTGAATACTTCACCATAACTGCATCCTATCCCAAGGTTTGTGTTGGTTTACTTGTGTGCTCTTTTTTGTTTTGTTTTGTTTTCATTTCAGGAACTAGCACAACCAGGGAACTTCTCATGTGACACATTTTTTCTCTATCTTCAAATTTGGCCTTCAGTAATTCATTAAAATTTTCCAAAATTTAGTACAATTAATAAGTACAACTTCCTTTCAGGACTTTTGCCACACAAGTCAGTATTCATATTATAATTTCCCTTGGAGTTCAGAGGTTTTTGTTTAGATATCAGAATATGTTGTTGTTCTTTTCCATCTCAGCTCTTTGATGTATTTAAGGAATATTTTAATTCTATAAATTACCTAGTTCTTTCCCTTAGTGATAGTGTGGGAGAGAAGCTATCTGCCACAGTCTATGTCAGTGAAGCTGAAAGTCATTTTTAACTACTGTATGTTTTGTATCATCGATGTTATCTGCAAAGCTACAAATTCTATTTGTATGAAATATTTTCTCCCTATTGCAAAAGAAACAGAAAACATGATTGCAACTAGTGTTAAATATATTATTAGCATAGGGGGTCACGTACAATGCAAAGGCTCAGTTGGATCATTTCTGAAAATTTGTGTTTTATAAGGTGGTGATGATTGGATTATCTATAAGTAAAAGAAGCATCTCATACAACTATGAACTTTTTCTTCTATAAGGGACTTGGAAACCATTATAAACAGTATTCACAGCTCAAGTTTTAGTTTGTAGCTCTGCCAAATTTAAACTTTTCTAAAAAGAGAGCCAAAAAGAGAAAGAGTCAATTATCCACTGTGCTGCTGTAGGAAGTCTGGCTATTTTAAGCACGTCCTTTGGTAGGGAACTGCGCTCTCTTAGCTTCTTCCAAACAACTTCGGTTTTAGAACGCTACAGTCCATTAAGTACTTTGAAATGTTATCCAGTTGAAAAGAAGCTGCTCTCGCAATAATTTCTGGATAGATGAACAACCTAATTCCATTTTACCTGCTCCCTCCGTACACTTGCTCTTGAGAGCCCTAGTCTGAAACTCATTTCAAGTGAATATATGATACAAATTCCAGTTTAAAGAGAGCTCTCTTTTATGTGTCCGTAGGGATCCTTTTCCACCGGTCTGCAGGCAGTATAAAATTTGGTTCTCTCAACATGTCACTTTTAGTCTTGCAATTCTGTGATGACCTAACCCTGCTAAACATTTCAGAAAAAATATATGTCTGTGGGATTTTACCTTTAATGGTGCTGCAATAATGGCTCTAAAAAGCACAAATAATAAGGTTTTCATTCTCCCTAAAAAGGAGGTAACACCGTACATGTGCCTTGGCAAGTTTTTCTTTGTAATCTTGGATACAGCCTCACAGAGGGAAAGACAGAATCAAAATCTTAATTAACCTTTAGTTTGGGATTACAGTAAACTATCTCTTCATATTTTCTTCTTTTGAACCAATGGGCACAATGCCTGAGAAATCAAAATAGAAGCTGTATCTTGGATGACAGCGGGTGACCCCTTTATTTCTCCTTAGGGACTGGAACCAAATGACTGGAACCAACGGTGGCAGGTTTATGAGGAACAGTGATGAGAAAAGAGGCTGAGGTACTGAATCTCGTAACAGCCAGAGATTCGAAAGATTATTCACTAACGCATTGTGAAAGTACGTAGTTTATCGAGCTCATTCCAATATGCTCATATCTTCTCTAAAGACTGGAGTATTTCTAATAAGAATCAACTTTCAAAGCAAAGGTGAGAGGCAAACGCACACCAGCAGCTGAGATCCTCCCAGAGGTCCTCACCCCGCAGCAGCACAGCGGACAATATGAGCTGAACAGTGCGTTATTCTGCGGGTCACGTGAACCCTCCATACCACCCTGCCCTTTCTCAAAGCACATGAACACACGAGACTTTTGGGGGACATTTTATTTTATTTTATTTATTAATTTTTGAGTTTTTTTCCGGTACCAGAAATCAAACTCATGACCTCGCTCTTGCCAGGCAGGCGCTGTGCCACTGAGCTAAATCCCCAGCCCCCTTGGGGGACATTTTAGATCTAAACCATAGATGTATCTTCGGAGAGCTTTGTAAAAATATTTATTAGTATACAGAATCTATACATCTTTGAATCTTCTCAGTTATGATTCTCATTATAACTTATTCAGAAAAAATATATAGCCACTTTTATCTAAGTGTCTATGCAGAAATATAGTGATATAGATTTGTAAATAGATATATACCTATACACCTCAAAAAATTTTGGAATAGTTGAAGGCTGGGGACAACTGAAATAGCAGTGATTGGTTAGTTACAGAATGATAAAATGCAATATTCTATTATGTTGTGCTGCCCTGAAGCAGAAAATGCCATCGTTTATAGGTCTATGTATTTATGCAGCATATTGATTTCTTCAGAATGTTGGCTGAACATCCAAAAAGAAAATTTTTCAGTTTTCTTCTGTGTTATATTTTCTGTAATATAAACCAAAATAAGTTAAAGAAGGATGACTCCTTATAAATGCTGTGGACAAAAGCTCAACAACATGTAGATAAATAGGAAATAAGATTTTCAGTATTTCCTGTATGTTCTTCGTGACACAATCAGGAAGGAGAAGACTCAGATAGTCTCTTTATCTGCTTGTTTCCCATGCAAGCTATCACCTTTCACATATATCTTTTTAGTTTTGACATCTCAAAATAATTAAAGTATGTGGGGCATGATAGAGTTCACCCATTTTTTAACATATATATGTTTCACTTTTACATAAATTTTAACTCTAAACAGTCCTTCTTATAATTTTACTGATTCTTATAATTTTACTGATATAATATAACATCTTCCCCACTTAAGTCATATAAAATCCCCCATCCACTTTAGTCATTTATTTTGGATCATTTTCTACATTATTCTACACTGTGGATTTCACTTGCTATATCACTAAATTAACCTCAAATATAATATTGAACTTGACTGGGGAAAACACAGTGAATTTAAAAGACCGAGTACAGTGTTACCAAACTATTCAATCAGTGAACCTCTTATCTTAGACTCAAGTTCTATTAATCTGACCAAAAGAGACTGATGATGAAGGTCTAAAAGACAAATTTAAGACTAAAGACTAAATTCAGTCAATTTCCCAGAGTGTTGAAATGTAGTGGAACTCAAGATTTCTATCAGTTAATGAATGCTCCATCGGATCCCAAGTAAGAGGGAAAATTTGGATCTACTTCTACTTACTTAAAGAAAGACAGCCTTTAGCTGTGGGAATCTTGATCTACATATCTGTCATCTGTTTGAGCCTAGGCTCTGAATTTTGTTTTATGGCCTATTCAATAAATGTCAAGAAATAAGATAATTTTGTCTAATATATCCATATTTTCTAAAAATATTTTAATAAGAGCTTCTTAACATATATACTTTATTCTTCATAATAGTTGAGTTCTAGGGGCTGGGGATTTAGCTCAGCGGCAAAGCGCCTGCCTGGCAAGCGCAAGTTCGTGAGTTCAGTTCCCGGTACCGGAGAAAACCCAAAAAAAAACAAAACAAAACAAAACAAAACATAATAGTTGAGTTCTCCTGAATTTATCTCTGCATTCATTTGAATATTCAGGTGAGTATCTTTTGTAACTTCTGACTTATAATAGATGTTTTAATAACAAAATATGTACATAAAAGTCAGGTCATCATGCTAACACCCAATTAATATGTTCTAACATTGCTGGGTGTGGTGGCACACATCTGTCTTTCCAGCGCTCTGGGAAGTTGGCAGAAGAGGATCACAAATTTGAGAGCAGTCTGGGCAACTTAACTATTCAGTAATATCCTGACTCAAAATTAAAGAAACAAAAAAGCTGGGGATGTAACTCAGTGCGAGGCCTTGGCTTCAATCACCAGATACTTCAATCATCAGTTACATGGTAACTGATCTTTGAGAAAGTGTTCAGTGTGTGCATTACTATATTGAGAGTAACTACTCCTCGACTCATTATATAACTTAGTATATCATTAAATGCGCCATTTTGCTGGTAAAGGTGGTAATACTTGTTCTCTCACACAATGGCTAAAGGTCACTTGTGCAAACACATGAGCACAGAGCTAGGCCCTGGGGTGTGCACTTTGGTTGTCAGTTATCTAACAGCCCTGGAGTGAGATGCTCAGAAGCTCTAGTTTCTATTTTCTCCTCTGTGACCCAAGATACTCAACTCCTGACCAATATACTACCATTAATTTCTCTCAAAAAATCTTATAAACTGCATCAATGAGTTGTTTCATAGGAACTTTAAATTTTAAGCTAGCATTTCATGTTTGTGTTTCTTTTCCCCTCCAGAATGTAGGTTTTCATTTACAAATACCGAAAAAGGTAATCCCAAAATAGTCCATCTTTCACTCAGTGTAAATTTTCCCTTAATTGGTGAGACATGAACTGTACCAAGAGCCGGAAGTAGTGTCTATCTAGCTTTCCAGGATGGTGAAAGGTAAAGCAATCCAGTGACAACTATGAAACTATCTTCTTTCCCCCATTGCCTGTAAATACCAGTTAGAAATGTCCTGTGGGAAGAAAGAAAGGAAAGAAAGAAGGATGGAAGGAAGGCAGGCAATCTTTTATATCATTTATTATTTTCTAGTCAACATAGAAATCCATAGCAGGGCATATAAAAAAACCAACTTTAGCTCAATGTTGAATATAAATGTATAACAAAAGTTTTGCTGCTTTCTCATTGGTCAAACATTTGGGGCAAAGTGACTCGTGAATTAATGAAGGCTCTTTGTAGTTTTTCTCTCATCTGAGCATCAGTTTCATGGTAAGCAGTACTTGGTTTTACCCCTAGCACCAAGGACAGCAAAAGGGACTACTAGTGTTTGGGTATCTATTGCATTTAACATCATAATAAATCTAACCACATTCATCTTGACCAGTAACAATGAATCCAACGTGCTTATACAGTAAGTTCTTATGTAAAGATATTTATCTGAGTGAGTCCCTTAGTTTAAGTTGTATTTCTAGATGTATGTGTGTATTTATCATGAGCCCTGACTTTCCCTTGGATTTGGCATCATTCAGGGCAATCTGTTTTGTAGTAAATTACTTATTTATCCCAAACCACATTCAGAGAGCCTTTCTTCCTCACTAAACTTTAACTCACCACTGGGTAGCTAATGTCTCTTGTCTTCCAAGAAATAATCATGAACATGTTTTTTGGCAGCTGATTTTCTTTCTTTTAAATCATCTACCACAAAATCGCCTACTTCTTCCAATTAGCAGCCTGTGCTCCTTTTCAGGTGACCCTAGATGTTTCATTCTCTTCTCTACAAAGAGCCAGTGGTGAACCATAATATAGTCTACAATGTGTTAATCAGCATTTCGTATGCCTGTATTAAGCCTCCTAAGTTTTTCAGAAAAGATTCAAAAGAAAGATGATTTCCTTTCATGATTATTTCTGTCTTTTCTTGTGCTTGAAAATGACATTTGTAAGTTTCTTTTTTAAAAACTGAATCCATTTAGAATTATTAGCTTTATACTGATAAAGGCTGAGTATCTCCCATTACTTTATTATAAAGACACAAACCTTCATAGAAGGTAAATGCTCAGGAGACTGTCAAAGTTCCTTGTTCTGTTCAAGTGAAAACAGATACCTACAGGGCTTAAAGCACTGACTGCTCAGGTAGTTTAAGTACGAAGAGCAGAAGGTCAACAAGAGTGGTCTTATGACTTCTCATCCAGCGCTTTTGTTACTGTTTCTCTAGACAGATTGTTTGTTGCCCAGAACTGTTTATATTTCTGTATATACTGTATCACAAGGTAGTAATAATCATGATATCGCATCCCTGCACCTCTTAGAAGCATTATTTGCCATTACCTTTGAGATGAATATAAATCAGATTCCCAATTTTACTATTTTTAGTTACCTTTAAATATGTTTGTATATGTATATGTGTGTGTATATGTATATATGTGTATATATGTATATATTTGTATATGTATGTGTGTATATATGTATATATGTGTATATATGTATATATTTGTATATGTATGTGTGTATATATGTATATATATGTATGTATCTATAGGATACACATATATCTGCATGTATTTAATTTTTCCCTCTAAAGATTACTAAAAGAACCTAGTCTATGCAAAATCAAGCCATGTACTGCTCTGTAAAAATACAAGTAAACATTTTAACTAATCAAGGTATTGAAAAATTTTTTCTGGCAAAGATCTAACAATCAAACTTCTGAATACTCTTATTTAAGCATCTTTTTAAACATTAACTTATTTCATAAAATCCACTGTGCCTTGGCTGGATTTCCTGTTGCTGGGACAAATGCCAGACACATCCTGAGGGGAGGTTTATTCGGATCCCAGTGCTGAAGGATCAGCTGGTTTTAAGGCAGGATGGTGGTGGCAGACAAGCATGGCCGGACCAGGTTGCTCAAATCATGCATCCCGAAGAGAACAGTGGGGCAGACCTCAAGAGGAAAGGGCTGCAGGTGTGTTCCCAAGGCCGTGTCTCCGTGACCCACCCAGAGGGAAGCTTTATTAACCCCTTAGGAGGCTCACCAGACAAGTACTCTGACAGTGCAGCTTCCCTGATGCATACTGTGAAACCCGCCTTTTGGGACAAAGATTGCAGTGAAATATCAGGCTGATGATTTGGACTTTGTTTCTGTTACATGCTGTGGCTTCAGTTTCCACTCCCTAAAACACGAGGGCATTTCAGCATCTGCAGTGTCAACTCTATGTGTTCAAGATCTGGGAAAATCTAAACAGCCAGTAGATGAGGTCTAATATAAATCTCTTAGAGCATACAGGATAACCTGTGCTTGGTACAGTTTGAATAGTCTCCATTCCACACTGAAACAAGACGCATTACTATGCCATTTTGGAGAAGGAAAAAGGAAAAAAAAAAAAATGGAAGAAAATATTAAAATTTCACCTAACTTTGGCTGTTGCAAAATATGCTGAACCCTATTCATCCTACTCAGTCTAAGAGGAAAGGAGGCAAGAGCAAGGCTCACAGAGATGCGGAGCCTTAGAGAGGAGGAGGAGCGCGCGTGAGTGGGAGGGCGGTTGGGTTAGATGCAGCTGTGGAGCTGAAGCAGTGATTTCATCAGTTGTTAAATTCATGCGTGCCCAAGATCAGTAATTTAGAGAGGTGATTTCAATGTGCCTAGAAGCGGTTGATAACAATGAATCTGAAATCAGCTAAAGCCTGGACACCCCCGGTCAGAAGTTTCCTAGGTAACAAAACACTTAAGCTAGTTTTTCAGGAAGGGCTCCCAGAATGCACTCAGGGAGAGTTTAAAACACGTGTTTTAAGAATGTACACATGCAAAAGATGCCAGCTGGTTCAGTCAATGATCTTTTGAAATCACAGGTCCCAAATTCCCTGAAATAAAACATAACTCCTCTGGAAAAGAAGCGCTCCACCTCACCTGCCCACAAAAGGGTAACTTTTGCCCTTCCCCCATCAGGTCTCCAGACAGCAGTCGTCTCAGGCCCGTGGACTTTGCTCAGACAGACACGAGCTGCCTTCCATTCCCTTAATTCTAAACACTACCCTACGACCATTCCTCCTTCCACTGCCCTAAGAGAGGTGAAAAATAAAACAAGGAACACCCTAGAGCTCCGTGAGGCTCCAGGCAAGAGCGCATGCAAATCGGATCACCGCGGAGCCCTCCGCCCACACTGGAGCCCTTTCGCCCCAGCAGCCCAGCGCTGAACTTTCAGCTTTAACTGAAGGTTAGGCACTTTGCAATAAATACGTGGGTGGGTTTGGGGTTGCAGCTTGAGCACTCTGCCTCTATGAGGTTCGCCATCACTGTCCTAGCCCGGCCTTCAATCCCCTCCACCCAACTCCCGCCTCATTAAGGGCTCAGAAATATGTACTGCATTTCACTCATTCATTAAGAATGAATCCTGGGACAGGCGTGCACGCTGAGAGCCGCTGGCACGACTCAGCGCCCTGCAATCATTCCTGTCCATCCCAGCTGGAGATTCAGGAGAGGCACCTGGGTTGAGGTGCAGATCCTTTTAATTCCAAAGCCTGGGTGACGGGGCCGCCACTATGGTGTGCTGTGAGCTGTGTACAGGGCTTTGTGATCCTGTCACCCTGGCACCCTTTTCTGTCTGTGCTGTGTTCCACTGGCATGGATTCACCCAGAGTGCAGTGTCCCACGATCTACAGTAAAGGACCAGAGACTGGATTGCATCTGTCCATTCCACAGTAGCAGACCGAGGGGGGGCAAAGTTAATCGTTTTCCTCTATTCGCTCCTGGTGATTTTTTGGCTGCCTTTGTTATTAAACTCTTATTGGTTTCCCTGTCCATTAGGCAGCGAGCTCTTGGCTGGTGAAAAAAGAAATGAATATCCATATGACCTCATCTGTACACACGGGCAGACTGGCCTACACTCGCCTAATGGGGAGAGCATCCCAAGCTTACCACGTTTGGCTAATGCTGGAGTCTGTGCTGGAAAGACTGTACAGTATCTCTGTGAGACCAGTGAGGACACACATGAGGAGGAGCCTCCGGGATGACTGACCAATGTCTCCTCATGAATCAGTACTCTGACCTCTCCATGAACGGGCTTTGAGCATGGTAGAATGCAACTATTTATTTTGGTCTGCTTAAATAAACAGAAGATGAGTTAATCTTAATCTATTGATAATGAAAAAGATATTTCAGCATTGCCAAATTGTTGTCCTTGCAACTCCATACTTGTATTCATGCATTTTCATACATTTTTGTTCAACAATTATGAACCAAATTTAGGGACTGTGTTTTACACCTCACTGATATCTGCTGCAAAGCATAATGATAACGAATAGGTAAGTTAGGCAGAGATCGATAGGCAGGTAGAAAGAGGCCAAGCCTGAGACAGAGCTGGAACAGAGATGCGCGAAGCAGCCTGTGCCCCAGGGCTGAGCTGAGAGAAACTCTTCCCAAGCTGCAGACACCAGGCCAGGCCTGCAGCCTCCCCAGAGAGGGAAACAGCGGCTCAGAGGTGGGCTGTAACCCGCACCGTCCGCCAGGTGAGTCTGAACAACGCAACACGCCTAGAAACAACGCAAAGAGCACGCGGAGAGCGGACCAGAGCTCTCCGAGCCCCTCCAGCCTTTCCAGAAACGCCTTTGCTCTTCTCCCTGCACCCTCGGTGCCCTTGCTACCCGCCTGCTCTCCTACTGGACTACAGTAGCCACGCGACTCCATTGCAGTCCTGCAGGTTGATTGCACTTTGACCCTAGATGACCTGCGATGTGGTTTACTGTATAAAATACCCTGGGTAAAGAGCCTCAGCAGCAGCCCTCTCTCGGGAGCCTCCTGCCTCTCAGGACCTTTCGCTTCACGAAACTTCTCCTGCTCTTAACCTCCCTTGTCTGAGCACACTCTTCAGCGTCCTGAGACACAACTGGGCACATCTAACTGCATGGGAGTTACTGCCCAGTGACATTATCATTAAAAAAAGAATTAAACGTTTTTGAATATCATACTAGCAGATAGACTACATTGTCCTAGAGAGTCTTCTGCAGCCTGAAAAACATCAGAGAGATACAAATATTTCCATTAAGTAGCACAGGAAATCTCCCTTTTCATTGGAAATCTCCCTTTTCAAACAGTAAACGGTTTCATCTGTGTTCATCTTCTCAAGTTTCTGATTTGTTGCAGTTACTAGTTGGTGGTGGTAATGCGCTTTGTGTTTCGGGATCCCAAGAGATTTACTCTGCCAAAATAATCTGTTTTAAAAGTCAGAAATTTGAATCTCTTAAGAACTTCCACTTGGACCCCACAGCAATGAGTATTTGTGATTTCTCTCTCACTCATGGCAATGACTTACCCTTGGACTAAACTTGTGCTAATTGAATTGTAACTCCAAACAAAATGAATGATATTTGAGAGGAAGTTTATTATTTCATTTCTTTTAGACGTGTTCTGTTCTTCTTTTTAACTATTCACAACTCTAACTATAGTCCACACTTCACTGCCAAGTAAACAGAGAGAATGTTTCTGAAAGTGTTGTTATCACAGCAAAAACTAAAGAAAGGTAATGGAGAAAGTCAAGAGATGATGAAAGCTCTTTATTAGCCATCTAGAATACCTACCTCAACTATCTAATTGTTTAGCCTGGGCAATTGAAACAGCTTATTCTTTTCAAAAAGCTAAATTTGATATGCTTCTATTATGATTTTCAAATTGATAGCAACCATTTTGTTGGTTCTTGAATACATGATTTTCAAGAAAATGAAAATCTGCATATTTATAATTATTCCACATGAAGTTATAGAAAATCTTTTATTGAATTCTATTCTGTAGACTCAAATGTCTTTTTGGTCACTACCTTATTCAATCTGCATTGTTTAAAATTCTCCGTGAAACCATGCTCTCTGTAAAGACTTGGCTCTTACCCTGGGGCCTTTCTAATACACGGTGCTCGCTGTGCTTTTTACCTCCCAAGTGATTCTACGACTCAGTTATTAATGCCTTCTGACTCGCGTTCTTCATTCCCCAGCGTTTGTACTGCCAAAGAGATCAGAGAGCCAATCTGACTGATGAAAACATAGAGCCATTCGATTTTCCTAAGAGCTTTGTTGTGTAAAAAAAAAAAAGTCACTGCTGTTCCTCTGGCTGCTCTGGACCCCTTCTTCCTGTCAAAAGCCTCTTTGCCTTAATGCTGCGATAATATTTGTCACTCCTGACTGGTTTTCTCTTGCAGGAAGCATGCAAGCATGACGAGCCAGTTGTTCTCATTAGCTCAATTCAAAAGAGAAAGAATAGAATTTTCTTCCTTTGAAATGCAGTGAAAGATTTTTGTTCTTGCTCAGATTCCTGTTCTGGACTGATTGACCTTCAAGTATCCAGCAATATAGTCTGTACTTTAACATCTCATACAGTGGAGAGTTTCTGTGACACTAAGAGCTAATTTGAAAAGCTACTTATAAAGTTTAGAAACTTAAAATGGGACTCCTGAATGTAAAAAGTACATTGAAGTAAATTAGACAGAAAAAATTCAGTTATTTCAGCTTAGAGAAAGACAGATAAAGCAGCCTCCATGTTCCCTTCAATGATTTATCAGTAAACAGGTTGTCTTCTGACTTTCCTGTTCCTCAGAACAGTTAGTTTAGAAAGCTTGCAGCTATTTACCCTACTTCTGCCACTTTGAGATATAAATCTTGAAGCATCTTCCCAGTTTTGCAAGCTAGGAATATCTTTCTCAAAGACCTGAAATTCCTCCCACTTGATGTATCTGACAAGAAAACAGGTGCCCTTACCTTCCAATCTCCCTTTGAGGAGAGAACCCTAATAACCATTACACCTGAGAAAGCACAGATGACTTAGTCACCTTGACCAGCCTGCTCCTGAATACCTCCACACCTCTTCAATTAGCTTATGACACTACTTAAAATGCCCTAGGCTTTGTTTTCAGTGAAATTGCTCTCAGTCTTTTGTGTTGTAATAGTCTGAACTCCCATCGTTACCATGAATTGGCCGGGTATGATGCAGACCCTTCTGGATGACAAGGATATAGTTACCAAGTGTACACCTGGTAGCAAGTGAAGATCATGAGAAGTTGCCCCTAGGGCAACTCTGTGCCAAAAAGGGATGTGACACAGGCAGAAAAAGTGATGCCAAGGTGACAGAAAAGGAAAGTACTGCACACAGTTCAGCTTCTGTGCTACACAGAAGCAGCAACAGTCCCTATAAATCAGGATCTTGGACAGGCAGAACCAACAGTATCAAAATGTCACACTCCCAAAGGATCTACACACATTCAAAGGAGCCCCATGAAGATACCAAGAGCATACTTTCCAGAACTAGAAGAAACAGTGGTAAGTTCATGCAGCACCAGAAGAGCCCCAGAATAGCAAAAGCAGTTTTGGGCAACAAGACCAAAGCAGGAGGCATGAAAGGGCCTGAGTTCAAGCTATACTACAAACCAGCAGCGATGGAAGTGGCATGATGCTAGAACAAAATCAGATGTAGGCTGCAGTGGAACAGAGTGGAGGGCTGAGGAACATCCCCAGACACATTGGCAGCTATCAGATCTTCAATAAAGTGGCCAAAAGCGTACGCTGGAGGAAAAAGTGGTGCTGGGAAAACAGATTGCCTTTTGGCAAAAGATTGAAACTGGACCTATTAAAATCAAAATGGATCAAAAATCTAAATGTTAAAACAGAAGCACTAAACCTACTGGAAAATAAACAGGTAAAACACTTGAAGAAATAAGTATATTAAAGGATTTTTCTAAACAACTTCAATTACACGAGACAAAATAGTAAGAATCAACAAGTGGGATTATATCACACTAAAAAGCTTCTATACAGTAAATGAATCAATAAGCAGAGTGAAAAGATAACCTACAGAGTGGGAAGATAATTGCCAGGTACTCTGCAGTCAGAGGACTAATATCCAGAGTATAAGCAACTCAAGAAAATTAGACCACCTAAAATTAAACACAGTCAAGAAATGGGCAAGCAAAATGAACAGGCTTCACATTAGAAGAGCAATAGGCTCACAAATACATGAAAACATGCACAACACCTCTGGTCCTTAGAGAGATATCTTACTCTGGAAAGAACAATAATAATCAAGAAATAAAAAATAACAAATGCTGAGATATCTGTGGTAAACAAGGAACTCCTCTCTATTGTTGCTATGAATGTAAATTAGTACAATTATGGGAATCAGTATGATTTCTCAAAGAACTAATGTTAGAAATTTCATATAAGCCTTCCATCTCCCTTTCTAAGTATCTTCCTCAAAGTTCTTAAGACATCTACACAGCAACACATGCATACCAAGGTTTATAGCAGCATAATTCATAATAGCAAAATCTCAGAAACTGACATCAGATATCACCAGATGATAAGATAAAAAAGATGTGGTATTCATATATGATGGATACTACTTGACTACAAAGAATACATTTCTAGGAAAATGGATGCTCCTGAGAAATACAATCTTGAGTGAAATAAATCAGATACACAAACTTGAATACCATATGGTATCTCTCATCTGCGCTAGATAAACTAAGAAAAAATTTAAGGAAGGATAGAATGATACAAGAGACGGATCTCTTGCAGATGGGAGTGGGTCCAGTAGACCAAGGGTCACAAAACCTGGGGATGTCTCAGGGTAGGAAGGAAGATTCTGTAGGTACAGCCTTCAAGAGGCCTTGGAGATCTGGAGAACACTGAGCTCCAGGCTGTTAAGGAATTAAGCATTAGTGATTTATTGTCAGGTAACAATCTTTTATTCAAAGAAATTCCACCAGCATGATTCTTCTGGAATCCTTCTGAGTATCATCAATAAGATGACTAGCTCCCAACAGAGTATTTAAGCTTCAAATAATTTGAAAACAACCTAGTTGAGATAAAGAAAATATATTTATTTAGGGCTAATTAGGATTGCAATCTGGGAAAGACACATCCAAGAAGTCTTGGCAAAGGGCTCTGAAGTCTTACTACTTGCCAGTTATATTTGTGGCTTTAAACTGCATAAGGGATGGTGATTACATTGTTACTGAGAAACTGTGATTATTTCTGGCAGAAGAAAAGTTGTCCTGGAAGCAGGGATTAGGTGTGGTCTCAGTCTCCTCCCTTTTTGAGAAAAGGGCTCTGTGGGAGAGATCAGGAGAGGTTAAGG